CATCAACGAGTCGTAGCACCAAGGCCTTCAAAGGGCACTCGCGCTCAGCATCTCAGGCCGATTTGCACCCTCAAATCTTCCGCTTCTCGCCTGATCGACCATCCTTTCAGGCACCTGCACCACGGCCTAGGCAGCAACGCTGGAGCTCGCATTCTCCAAAACCTAAGATCGCACCAGCGCTATCCGAGCAATCGGATTCGGAGCAAGAAGAGGTGCTAGCTCCAAATTTCCACGCTTTACCGGACTCAGGCCTTGCAGACGAATTTCAACAGATCTCTGATGACTCTACGAGAGCGAGAAAGAACGAAATCAGTCGATGGTCATCGACCAACAGCAACGCAAGCAGGTCGAGCGACAACCGCATCTCGTCATACTTCTCAGCGGCCGCTTCAACCTCAGCGCCAGAGCCTCGGATAAAGCTGACCCCTTCGCTTCTGGGGTTTGGCGGGCCGCCTGTGCCTCCCAAGATGTCGCGACCATCTAGCAGCTCGGGCAGGCGAGGCTCGGACACTGCTGGCGTCGGTATGGGTACGCCTTCACACGTGGCCGACTTCAATGCAGCGCCTAGACAAATCTCTAGTGGCAGTATGAATGCGCCTGCGCATGCCCAGATCGGCAAATATGTGAGTGCAAGGACGCGAAATGGTGCCCATCTAAGCGGCGACTGATCATTGTTCGCTGCTCTGCGCCTGCTCTAGTCTCTCGGCGATTGCCTGGGAAGAGGTGCATTCGGGAGCGTGTTTCGAGGACTGAATTGGATCACGGGAGAGACGGTGGCCATCAAGCAGATCCAGCTGACAAACATTCCTCGCAGCGAGCTGGGAGAGATCATGGTGAGTCCATCCGGAAGCGAGGAATACACCAAAAGCTCGCGCTCGATGGGCCGTGGCCAGTCTGTGCTCTAACACACTGCTGTGATGCGCGCAGTCCGAGATCGACCTGCTGAAGAATCTCAAGGTACGTGTATCTGCTGTCGTGAGCTTTTCGTCCGAAGCTGCTCAGCTCACCCCGCATACATCCCTGCGCGCAGCACCCAAACATCGTGAAATACAAAGGGTCCGAGAAGACGAGAGATTATCTCTACATCATCCTCGAGTGAGCACAGAGCAGTACTCGGAGCCTCCGTGTGCTACTCAATGAACGCACCGTATCTTTGCCTTCCCTTCCCTACGCCGCAGATACTGCGAGAATGGCTCATTGCAACACATTTGCAAGCGATTTGGAAAGTTCCCAGAGGGCTTGGTTGGAGTCTACATCAGCCAGGTGCTGGCAGGGCTGCTATACCTCCACGATCAAG